CCACCCCCAACACCCACATAGAGCGCCCAGCACGCTCCAGTTCTTTACAACCCTCTCGCTCAGAACACAAGCTCTCCGATAGAAGCCTGCAGACCCAATGGCATCTCCCCATTGTGCAGAATCCGCCACCCAGAGGCACTCACAGAGGTACAGAAGGTGTGTGCACACCTCGCGGCTAACCATTGTCTTGTGAGTTCATGACTGCAGCGCAAAATCAGAAAATGGACTCGCAGTCAGCCAATGAAACACGACGTGATGAGCTGTACAGCTTGGCTTGTTTCGGTGTCCCGTGTTTGAGTCAACAAGTATTGTTGTCTAGGGGGGGGATCTAGAAGGTTCTGCACTCCTCTGTTTTCTTCCCCATCAGGATTGGATAAAGTCTAGTCTCATGCCAGCTTCGATTAACGGGATTTGATGTGTAATGATGCCTCGTGTAACTTAATGCCGTAGCAAAAACAAACAAACAAAAAAGATCATTTCTGAAGTGGCGAAGGTCTGTGTTAAAAAGTTAGAATTGCATTGGATTTTGGACCGACTACTCTAAAACAGCGCTCGTCTCCGAAGCGGAAAGTCCGGGTTCGAGCCTCGATTCGGAAGCGGATTTTTTTCGCCCCCTCCTGCCCACCCAGCAGTAATGTCACAATGTGGACCTGACTTCGAGTTGGGGAAATAAAGGCGGCGTGGAAAGGAACTGGCCACCCTACCACAATATGCCGAAGGCCCAGGAAGTTGTCTCACTAACAAGGCAATCCCCAATGACCGGATAGGAAGCGGGAACAACTTTACTTTTAGTCTAAAGCTGAGACGTGTTATCGTTGATAAACTAGCAATAGAAACTACTGCAGCACACCAAACGAACAGATGCACGGTGGGCTATTTATAACTTTATAGCCTTGTGTTTGACATTGATGCACATTGCACAATCTTGAACAGTACAGGACCCAAACGTTCACTCACGCTAAATAAATCAGAACAACGTTTGTCTGCTTGAAAACAAAATGTTCTATTGGTTGTTTTTTTACTTTGGGTTTACACACCCCCTCCCTTTCATTTTTCCTCAATGTCTGGCGCTCTCTTTATCTTCCCCTCTCTTTATCTTCCCCTCTCTTTATCTTCCCCTCTCTTTATCTTCCCCTCGCCCCCCTCCCCCCCTCCAGACCCCCTCTCTTTATCTTCCCCTCATCCCCCCCCCCCCACTCCAGACCCCCTCTCTTTCTTTTCAAATTTTCTCTCATTTCTTTTTCTTTCACTTTCTCTCTCTCCCTATGTTGACGAGGCTAATTTAAGGGGATTTGAAAATTCGATTTTGTCTTGCCTTTTCTTTACTTTGATATACAGAATTAAAGACGGTGCCGAAAAACCTATAGCACATGGTAGTTTGCAAACAGTGCAACCTACTTGGCAGTGAGTAGATCTAGAGAACACATGTATGTACGTGTCATGTAGTGAGTAGATCTAGAGAACACATGTATGTACGTGTCATGTAGTGAGTAGATATAGAGAACACATGTATGTACGTGTCATGTAGTGAGTAGATCTAGAGAACATATATATGTACGTGTCATGTAGTGAGTAGATCTAGAGGACACATGTATGTACGTGTCATGTAGTGAGTAGATCTAGAGAACACATATAATATGTGTCATGTAGTGAGTAGATATAGAGAACATATATATGTACGTGTCATGTAGTGAGTAGATCTAGAGAACACATATAATATGTGTCATGTAGTGAGTAGATATAGAGAACATATATATGTACGTGTCATGTAGTGAGTAGATATAGAGAACATATATATGTACGTGTCATGTAGTGAGTAGATCTAGAGAACACATGTATGTACGTGTCATGTAGTGAGTAGATATAGAGAACACATGTATGTACGTGTCATGCAGTGAGTAGATATAGAGAACATATATATGTACGTGTCATGTAGTGAGTAGATATAGAGAACAGATATATGTACGTGTCATGTAGTGAGTAGATATAGAGAACAGATATATGTACGTGTCATGCAGTGAGTAGATATAGAGAACACATGCATGTACGTGTCATGTAGTGAGTAGATCTAGAGAACAGATATATGTACATGTCATGCAGTGAGTAGATCTAGAGAACACATATATGTACGTGTCAGGCAGTGAGTAGATATAGAGAACAGATATAACATGTGTCATGCCATAAGTAGATATAAGGAACATATATATGTAAGTGCCATACAATGGGTAGATATAGAGAACAAATGGTCGCTTTTAAGCACAAGGGGCCTATCCCGAAAATGCTGTTTTTGAGAAAACCGAAAGTAAAGTTTGTGCTCCTTGTTCAGTTCATAAAAAAAAACAAGGAGAGTTTTCTCTATAAC